GTCATACAGTTAAGAAACTGTGGGGCTGGAGTTCATCAGAACCCATCTGGTTGCCAAACTTAACACCATCTCCTCCCATTCCCCGCTTGGCCACAATGGGCAGAACGCCCAAGGCGGACAGCTGCAGAGTCTCTCATGGCCCCCTTTTCTTCCTTTGCTTCATTCTGCGGCTTTTCATTCTGGTCAATGGCTGTCATCCTATTTCTGATGGCTGAGGGCAGCCCAGCTGCTCGGGACGGCCAGCAGGGGGTGCTAGTATCCAGGTGTAAAGCACGGCAGCTCCCTACACTGCCCTAAGGAATCACCACTATCTGCATGATCTCAGTGAAGAATGAAGGTCCTGGCGGCCAAGGAAAAGAGCATCCCTAACAACGAGGGCACCTACTGGCCTGCTGGCCAGAGGCCCTTGGACAAAGGACGTCATCTCTGTGGCTGCAGTTTTCATGGCAGCAAAAGCAGGGGAGGAAGGGACACACCTCCGGGGGGAGTGGGGTGGTGACACAGTAATGCAGGGCAAGGCTTCGAGCACAGTTCCCCGCACATAACTCAGCTGCATTTACATTCTTTATCAAGAGACGTTTAAAGATTCTCATAGAGAGTATCATTTCAGACTCTGCCCAAACCATGTAAGTCCTTTTTGGGACTCTGCCGTTTTGCTCCTTTTCCTCCACCCTTTATATCTTGACCAAGTCTTTCCTCTTTACTTCAGGGCACTCCCAAGCATTCTAGCCAGCGCCCTCTAGCCCCTTATAAACTATGCCCATGCTTGATTCACAAGGCCGTCTTAGGCATGGCCTGAAAGGGGGCTATTTTCATTTGGAAACTCCTGTGGGCCAAATGTAAATTCAAGAACATTGTGCCTTAGCTTGTGCATTTCCTGTCTTCCAACCTAAACACCAGCCAGTCCTAACATTTACTGACTGCCCATGTATGTTACTCAAGGCCCCATGCTGGAAAGAGATACAGAGAAAATAAGACAGAATGGCATCACTGGAAGCCCCTCCAAGAAGGACAGAGACCCCAAAAGATGATTTCAGAACAACTTATGTGACTATCTACAGAGATCTGCACTCGGGAAGGCATCTAAGCCAGTTCCCAAGAACCTACCAGGGACCATCCTGTGAAGGATGAATTATATCCACTTCACAGACTGACCTGCAAAGCCAAGGTCAGACAGGAAAGAGCAGGACCAAAACTGGACCCCAGGTGTGACTACGTTGCTGCCTCCCTTACCTTAGCAGGCGGAGGCCCCGTGAAGATATCCTTTTGCACATGCTCCAAGATGTCTGCTAAATGTAGGTCACTATGGCTGAAAAGATATCATTTCCCCCTATCCTTGCAACAGGCAGCTGCTCAGACAGTTTGGACCGTGGCCTGAGGTTTGGCAACACCAGCCCTCGCTCGTTTCTGTGACCCAACAGAACTCAGGGCTGTGACCCTGGGAATTTGACCATGACTCTACACATAATGTCTTCTTCCAGGTTCTTTTTCTTCTCAGTCATTAAATCACACACAAACAGGCCAGGAGACAAGTCAATTATTTCACACGGTCATTCCTTTCCACTCCTGCTTCACCTGATACAGAAGAATTTTTCGGTAAAATTTCAGCTTTACAAGAATATGCAACAGAAAGAATTAGGGAACTCAGTGATCCAAAACTAGCTAAATGAGGGTTTTATTTATTTTTTGTAATGTAAAGCAGTTCCAAGAAAAGTGAAGTCACGGCTTAGGTTGCTTATTTTCAGTTCTTAGAAAAGAGCCAATTTCAGAAGGGAAGCTGCACTGCCCGAGCACACAAACCTGCCACTGTCTG